CAACAGCTAAAACTCAGCGCGTCCAAACAACAATAGTCCTCGAAGAAAGATACCACCGCGCCCATGGTTCTTAACAATCTACAGTTCGGGTATCCGATCGATTAATATCTCATTTTCCTGTACAAGGCAGAAATAGGGAACAGGCGCTTCTTAACAGGTAACATTTTTCATATAAAAAAAGGCAGGCATTAGTGATGAGAATGAGCTCCTTTCGAAGAGTAGATGCTCTTGTGAGCGTTTCATGCGCTTTCTCAGATCTCCAACAGGATCGCAGGCCTCTGAGCTATACAGGTTGCTTCTAGTCGTTGGCGGGTCCAGAAGTGGTTAATTCAGCATGCACATGTCGAATTAAAATTACAGTAAAAAGAATGTTCAGGAACAAAAGAACAGGAAGCACAGTGAGCTGGCGGATAAGATAAAGCCACTCATTCAAACCGCCCACGACTCATCATCGACATATCGCCTCAAGTAAGCAGATCGCGAAGTATGAACGAAAAGGGTAAGCGGGGGAGGGTCAATGCCACCTGAAGATTCTAATCGAAATGTAAACGTCAACCAAACTTCGACGAGGTGGGAGAGACATGTGTCATCGACGGAATTTCCCTTAGATCTAACTCCGAGGCGGATGCTCTCTCGCTGTAAGGGTTCAGAGTTGTTTTCTCATAGCATCTTCTGTTCGAGCATTAGGAAGGAAAATAAGGAAGAAGGATGAGAGAAGGAAGGAAGAAAAAGAAGGAAAAAGGAAGGAGGTGGAAAGCTCCGCGGTTGACAGATGTCCTGAGACCACAGAGGGGAACGCGAGAAAAAGCGAAAGCGTGCTCGCATCTAACGGTTGGAGAGGGTTATCGCAGTCGTGAAGACCGCAATACAGTCATATCTGCAAACAATGGGGCGTGTGGCGGGCATTGAAGGGCGCGCAGGCAGAGCTGCCTTTTTCCACCGGTGATGCCATCCTGAGCCCACTACCGTTGGAGGGAAGCCTGCCCTGGTTGCACTTCAACCCACGGCCCGTCACACGCCCTTGCAGAGATCGCGTTTTCAACTTCGTTTAGCGGTTGCTGATCATAAGCTAACGCGTCTAATGCTTAGAATATTTCACACTGAACGGGAATCCTGCAGTAGTCATTATATACTGCGATTCCGCATACATACTATACGAGTATAGAACAAACAGGAGAATGAAAAAGATAGGGTAAACATCAATCTGGCGGGTCTGAAGGATAGGAGAAGGCGCGTTTCGGGAGGGTTCGCGCCAAGGCAGTGGATGGGAACGAACGACTCCTAATCTCCGATTTTCCCCCTTCGCCGGATCCATAATGACATTTTCTTTTGGCGCGCATTATCCTAGTCTCCGACTTTCTCGTTCTCGGGGGTCGCAAAAGACGAATGTGGACCTGAAGCAGTTGGCTGTGGACGTATAGAAGAACATGGAGAGGTTAGCGCGACAAAACGCGCTGCCTACATATTCCTTCTTCGTTTCTCGAATTGCGAAGCGATTGCAATAGGCCCTGCACAAAGAAGTCTGTTCTTTTTTCATGGAACCCACCAAAAATGTTTCAAACAAATAAGGAACTACAGAGACCACACGAGCTCGCATTTAGAACGGATCAAAATGCGAGCAAGCCTGTTTGGGGGGGGGGATAGGAGGGACCATATTAATTCCTGTCAATCGCGGAGCCCTTCTGTGAAGCCTGCCTGTTAACTCCCTACAGAGTGCGACTACGGGGCGTGATTGTTTCATTTGGGACATTTCCTATTATGCCATGATAACATTTGATCGGCTAGAAGCGAATCGATCTGATTATCGGGCGTTGGTGATATTTGTGGCTAATCATTGGTTACGGAATGTTCCCCTCACTTAGCCGACTAGCGCCCGCAAATCTTCCGGATCGCGATGTAGCAATTAGAATGGAAAAAATTGCAGAAACGAGTTATCTCCATAGTGCGCACTCCTCATCGAAGGAAACGGAAAGTATGCAAAGCGCATCAGCTGATCAGCGCAGTTCGGCGACGGGGGGGGGGATTTTGCTTCCCATCGATGTGCCGACTCATCTAGCCTTTTCTTGTGTTGAAACGCTTACTATGGTGGCTAGACGAGCTTGCTCAGCTTCACAAGAGTTCACAAGTTTCACCAGAGT